TAGAGGTCTGGTGTCGGGAAGAGAAAGAAAAGAAAAAAAAAGAAGATAATTTTTTTTTTGCCTTTGAGCAATAATGGTAAACATATGAGAAGAAGGGGAAGCCTGCTGACGCCTCTGAGGGGATTGGTGTGAGATACCACTGTGAGAGAGAAGGGAGGCCTGCTGACGCCTCTGAGGGGATTGGTGTGAGATACCACTGTGAGAGAGAAGGGAGGCCTGTTGACGCCTCTGAGGGGATTGGTGTGAGATACCAATATGAGAAAGGAAGAATTTGGGAGACGAGAATCCCTCTGGGGCAGAAAGTAACGGACTTCCAAAAATGGAAAGTAATAAATTTTCCTGTCCGAAGACAAAGAAAATCCTTATTGTGGATTTAGAATTATCGAGGAACTCAAACCCCGACAAGCCCACACCCGGTTTTGGTCGGCGTCCATATAAAGCAGCGAGTAGACGGCAGTTGAGTTAGTTAGTTGCAGTTGGAGTTGGAGAGACGCAGACGCAGACAGAGTTGAACTGTGAGCTCTGAGACCAGCCTCGCAGGAAGCTGACTGAAGATATCCACGCATCCCGACTTCGACTTCTAACCAAGAACAATTTATTTTTGAAGAACGACTTAGACTCACACCACCAAAACAAGTTTTACGAATATCACCTGAAGATATAAAAAAAAAAAAACAGTTTCTTGAAAAAACAACTTAAGACAAACACAAAGTGTCACGAATCCATAGAAGCGGGTTGGGAGAAAGACGCAGTCCTGTATTCTGAAACCAGATATAAAAATATTTGTTATTCTTTTTTAACACATTTGAAATTTTCGAGTTGTTACTTTATTTTTGTTTTACATATACTTGTGCGGTGTTACCTTTGGTCGGACTCGGCTTGCATTACGGCCCGGCGACTGATTGATTTCATCTCCCTAAGATCAAAATCACAACGTGGGTAGGTTAGACTAGAAATCAAAGCAGTTACTTCGGTAAGCAGACGTTGGAGTCAAGCTGGGAACGACAAAGCTGATATCGAATCTAACCAGATTCCCATCCGAATCAGCCAAGGGTTAGAACGTCACATTTGGCACCGCGACCAATACCAAGTCACATTGGTCGTCACAGGATAGCACGTGCGCGGAGAGGCCAGGGGTGACGTCACACACACACACACACACACACACACACACACACACACACACACACATATATATATATATATATATATGTGTGTGTGTGTGTGTGTGTGTGTGTGTGTATATATATACATACATAAATTACATATATATAATATTATAAATTAACTGATTTAAAAATATGGTTTCATCGCTACATAGGAATTACCATGTTTCAAAAATAGAAACTAAAAACTTCAAATTCAGTTATATAATTAAATTAAATTCCTTAGTCCTGTTTTATTTTCAAGCGAATTTTGGAATAACTTATTTTGAAATTTACTAAGTTTTATAAGCATATACATTCATAATATTAGTTTCTAAGAGAAACCCAATCATTATGACAATGGCTGGTAGTGTGTTCATTTATGACGACTATTATATAAAATATGAGTTAGGTAGGGTATTGGTGCCTTTTTCAACGAATTATGACATCCTTTCAACGCATGTCATCTGGGTTTTCTAAAAGACTTTCTTTCCGTTATATTTTTATTTCTATACATAAAGATTCTTTCGAAAAGGAATTTTTGGATTAAAATACGTTGTAATGAACTACAATTTTAAAATATTATTTTTAATTTTAATTACTAATAGACAATACTTCTTTTTAAAACAACTAAATGTAATAGCATTACTTAAATTATTTAAAAATTATTATTAAATATCAAATATAAGTATGTATATTTCTTTTATCAGCTTTTTAAAAACATTATTAAATGTGGTTCGATCAGTTAAGGACGAATTTTTTTCTATGAATATTTGTCGGACATTCAGGCCAGTAAATGTTATTATTACTATTTATTATAAAACAGAGCATTTACTTAAATATTTGTAGCTATAAAAAGAATATATAAACATAAAAATGTATATATATATATACATGTATGTATGTATGTATGTATATACTAGCAGTAGAGCCCGGCGTTGCCCGGGGATGTAACAGTAAGAGATAGATCAAGTATCGACCATCATAAAGACTGAAAAATAAAATTGACAAAGATTATTGTTTAAGGTTGATGGACACGCATGTCTTAATTAGTTTTATTTTTTGTTTTGATTTTATTTTTATTTTTATTTTTTTTTACGAATTGGTCAAACCCAAACTCAAACAAAAACATTGTTTTCAATCGTTATGAGTCTACCAATTGGATAGAATTTTATTATAAACAATTGTCTTGTAAATGGAATTTTAAAGCATTCTGAATGTAAAAATAAAAAAAAAAAAGTGTGCAAGACAATAAGAAACACTACCTGCCAAAAAATGTGAAGTTTTGTTGAAATCGGTTGAAAAATGTAGGAAATCCGATCTTATATATAAACGGACACACACACACACACTCACACACACACACACACACACACACGCACACACACACACAATCTGGGTTTTATAATAAGTATAACTCGATATGAGTTGTCCCCCTTTCATTCTCGTGATGCCTCTTAATCGTGTTTTTAAATTGATTGTGTGCAAAAACAATTGTGTTTTTCCAATTTTTTCGCTGTCAGAACCACCGCAAGGCAATTTCACGTAGTCCTGAAAAGTTTTGTTGAAATCGGTTGAAAAATATAAGAAAATCCGATCAAAATATAAACGTACAGACACACACACACACAATCTGCGTTTTATAATAAGTAAGATGTATGTATATACCCGAAGCATACTGCTAAAACAACTAAGAATTGGTTTAATAATAATGACATTAATGTCCTGGAATGGCCAAGTCAGTCACTGGATTTAAATCCAATTGAAAATTTGTGGAAACTATTGAAGTTACGAGTTCATAAAAGAAATCCATGGAATTTAAACAAATTGAAGAAAATTTGTGAAGAAGAATGGGTCAAAATACCAACAAGTACCTGCAAGAAACTAGTTGAAGACTACGGGAAACGACTGGAGCGTGCGAAGCAAAACAGAGGCTACTGTACTAAATATTAGTAAAGTGTGTTAAATACTTTTGCATATAGGTTATTTTATTTATTGTTAATAAATGTTTCTCAAAACAGTGGTTTTAAATTTTCCTTCTATGTTTTGATCGACAATGTCCGTTTAAATATTTCCTATAAGTTTCATTGAAATTGATCTGTTATTTTTTGAGATATGTAAGAAAAACCAATGTGTTAAATACTTTTGCTACCCACTGTATGTATTTATAAATTCAGAAAAAAGGCATGGCACGCGGAATTAGAACATTCTAACTCCGTTGACTAAATAAAGTGTTCTGCACGAAATTCCAACGTATAACACCTGAAGAAGGCCGGAGAGAAAAATCCTGAATGTGACAAAAAAGTTAAGGAAAACACTCCGAACAATTTAAAAAGAGTAAATATACATACACGGATTGAGGAATCGGAGAACCGAGTTCGAATTCCAGTCGAATCTATTATATTCACTTACGTGCTAATACCCTTAATAAAGGTATGAAACCTCGTCTTCTCGCCTCCCATAGCTATGGGTAAATAGCAGGACAAACCAGGGTGGCAACAAACTACGGGAAAAAATCTGCCTCGTCAGTCATGTATCGAAACATACATAATCGTCTAAACTTGTATCACGCATGGTACATAACTGACTGATATATACATATAGTTAACCCAATGCTGGGCGCAGTCCATATATTATTGAGAGATTACTGGTTTTTATTATTAAAATATTATATATAGTATTCAAAATAGACGGGATTTATATTTTATATTTAAAATAACAAGGATTAAATGTATTTTCAAATATATATATATATATATATATATATATATATATATATATATATATGAAAATACATTTAATCCTCGTTTGAGGCCTCACACTTATACACACACCCATACGAACATACACACTTAATGGACCAAATAACACACACACACACACACACACACACACACACACACACACACACACACACACACATAACAGAGACACATCCCTTCTCTAGGAACCAATAAAACTGTCAAACTGACCAGGGGAATTCTGAGAAGCATAGATCCATCCAGCTCTTATCTCAAATAACAACTTAAAAGAGACTGTTTGACCAACACAAGGAATGTTAAAAGATTCATATTAAAAAGATAAAAAAATAAAAAAAACAAATGAAAACTACAGAAAAAAGTTCATTTTCTCCAGCAAGACATTTATTTCTGTAGTTCACTGCTTCCAGCAAGCAGAAATATTTCTTCTCCTGATGATGGCCATGTTGGCCGAAACTAGTGAGGAATCTAAATGAAATAATAATAAAAACGAAAGAATATTAATCTACAACCCAGTGTGTCTGAAAATTTTAATTTTTAATATTTTTTATTGTTCAAAAAAAAAAAAAAAAAAAAAAAAATATATATATATATATATATATATATATAAATACGCACACACACGCACATATATATTTAATTAATGTTTACCTGTTTACGTATATTAATATTACACACATACACACAGTAAAAAGAACCTTCAGATACTGAAGGCCATCTACATTAAAACAATGCAACCCATATTCAAAAAAATACATTTCAAATTAGACACAACAAATTACTTTGCATCTAGCCATATGGTTCTGTTGTTAATAGAACCGCGTCATGAATTTACGACCCACGTCTGCTATTCCACGACCGTTATCGTCACATAGCAATCTTCTATATCAACATAGCAGAAAATCATCTTTGATGGTGAATATCTTTCTTTAAATGTCCACATAACCACTCTGATGAGGGCTCATGTGAGCCAAAAGCTTAGATCAAGGAACAGCTTAATAAAAACATATCGAAATGTTGGACAATTTTTGTCTTTATTTTCTAGTAACATATAAAAACTGGCTTCATTTGGTGATTAGTTTCTGAGAAATAGAACAGACGTAGATAGGTAGATAGATAGATATACTGACAGATAGATAGATGAACCCACGTAGGTAGATAGATAGATATAAACAGATATAGATAGTTGACAGATAGATAGATAGATAGATAGATAGATAGATAGATAATGAACAAACATATATATAGAGAGAAATAATGAACAGACATTCATAGATAGATAGATAGATAGACAGATAGAGATAGATAGATAGATAGATTGACAGATAGATAGATATGAATAGAATGAGATATGTAGATATATATGAATAGACTGAGATAGATATGAACAGACTGAGATAGATAGATAGATAGATAGATAGATAGATAGATAGATAGATAGATATGAATAGAATATGTTGATATATATGAATAGACTGGGATAGATAAATCGAGAGATAGATAGATAGATAGATAGATAGATAATGAGCAGACTGAGATAGATAGATATGAAGAGACATGCATTGATAGATAGATAATGAACTGACGTAGAGATTATATATATATATATATATATATATATAAGTAAATAATCCTATACATGTTAACAGATATTGTGATCAGTGTGCTTAATCTTTGCCCAGAGTGTTTGAAAAGTGTTGTTGATTTAAGTTTCCATTATGTTAGAAGTTCTTGAGCAAGAGACACCTGACTGAAAGCCTTGCAAGTTTGCCAACACGACGACGACTACAACAATTGCTCCTGCTGCTAATACTACTGCTGCCACTGCTACTAATTATAGTGCCTAACGAAATAGCAGCAACATGACGACAGAGGAAGAGATATGAGTTTCAGATTAAATAAAGTGCTCGATGATGTACATAGGCGGAACATCAACTGGCATCTGACCTCAAGCAGAGGAATTTTTTAGCATAAGTGTGGAGATTTCAATTAGGTTAAGTGAATCATGAAATATCATTCAATTTTTCAAATATATGTTTTATCTTCAAGACGTAGGCGATTATGACCCTCAGCAGCTTCATGTCTTTTGTAGATCTGAGTAAGTTTTGTTGTTTTTCTATCCCTCTTAAACTTTGTTCTGCCAACCATGTACACAACCTCGTTCTGGATACAACTGACTACTTTTCTCTGTCCCTACCTGCACAGAAATTTAAAGGTCACAAAAGCTGTAGCAAATAACAAAAAGACTTTAGTGAGGGGAAAGGACAAGAAAAGAAGAGAAATTAAGAAGACAGAAGATAACGATTGACATTGCATTGAAATTTTTGAAGATCAAAGTTGACTGGAAAGTAAGAAGAGTGAAAGAGAATTAGAAGACTTTAGTGAGGGGAAAGGACAATAAAAGAAGAGGAATTAAGAAGACAGAAGATAACGATTGACATTGCATTTGCTTTTTTGGAGATCAAAGTTCACATAAAAGTAAGATGCCAGAAGTGACTTCCACAAGCGAGAAGTGCAAGAGAAGAAACTCTTAGTATAGGACTTACGGTAACATTTATCTTAACTTGACAGTTACAGACCAATTGTCATCAAAGTATTTAAAGAAACGCACAGGGAAGCTACATTATGACTTTAGGATAGTAACTGAAACTGAGTATGCCAAGTAAGGCCTAATAAGATTCCAAATTCTTCTTTTGATTCTATCAAGAATCTTTACATGTGGCAGCAATATTCAAAGTATGGAGGAATGGCAGATTTATAAATTTGACGTTTAGGAAGGGAAACTCCCTCAGTAGTCGAAAGATGTATAACAGCTAGTGGACTTGAAAAAACTTTTAAATAAAAAGATTTTATGAAATACAAACGACAACAATATAAGGAAACGTTTCATATTAGCGTTACACTATTTATATTATTCGGACTAGTGTCCTCATCTTTTTTGCCATATTTATTACAACGTTTCGGCCGTTGTGCACTTCGGCCGTTGTACGATCCGGCCTTCTTCAGGTAGTTGGAATGTCAAACTGAACCCTTTATTTCGTTCACTGGGGTAGACTGTTCTAGTTCCATGTGCCATGTCTAATGGATGTAAATTATCAGTTATCTCCTGTTAATTTCCTCTGAAAGTTATCCACTGCCTTAACCTGGTATTGAACTCACACTCTTTTGGTCCTGTCACTGGATCTAACTAACGCCTATATTCACTGAGCCACGCGTCCTCAAGTTAATACTGTACATAATACAATACCCCATCTCAGAATTATAAGATGCTGAAGAAGGCCGGAGCATACAACAGCTGAAATATCATGTATATGTCAATAAAGATGAGGAACAGCAATTTGAACAATGTAAATAATGCCAATAGTTATATTACATTAATTAATTCTCTTTCATTCGGGTTCTTTTATTCAAGAATTGTTTTGGTTTTTTTTTTTAGGAATATCGTCTTATATAGTGCAGAAAAGTGTTTTGAAATTTGCATTTAACTTGGACTTCGACAAGTAGGCATCTATTTGTAAAACTTTCCTTAACTATAACAAAGCAATTTATGAATGAAATGTTCATTTAAAATTTTTGTTTCAAACATTTCAAGTAGTGAATATATCTTACTTTGCGAATATATATATATATATATATATATATATATATATATATATATATATATATATATATATACTTATACTGTGTGTGTGTTAAATTTCTCAGAATAAATCTGTCGAGAAAATAAATTGAATAAAATAGACAATCAGAAATGACTACTTACTCCTTGCCGACAGGTTTAGTCATTTGACTTTTTTTAGGCAAGTGACAATAAACAAAAGCGAAATCTTGTATAATTGCATGAAATTCAAACATTTAAAAAAACACTCATGCATAAGCATTTTTTTCTTATTTTATTATCCAAAAAGAGGCTGACACAGGAGCGTCTTTTAAATTTTTTGAATTTCAAAATACATAACATCTCGTTTTTTTTATCATCCCGTGCCTTCATAATGTCAAATGACAAAATACGTCGGCAAGAACTAATTATTATTTCACGATTATCTATTTTATCCATATATATATATATATATATATATATATATATATATATATATATATATATATATATATATCAGCAGTCAATATACCACATAACACCCTTTTGAGCGCTTAGCCTTGGACGGTAGAATGGAGATCGACATGTTTTAGTGGACTCAGCAATTTTCATTCTGCTTGTGTGAATCATCTTCATGAAGCGAGAGCAAGATCTAAAAGGTCAGCCAATCTATCAGTGATCTCATCTCACAATCCTCACACTTGCTCTATATGTGGCCTCGTTTGTAAATCACTAGCGGGTCTTAAATGCCACTTAAGATTATCGCACAAACTTTCATAACTGAATCAATAAGTTGTCAGATCCTCATACGTCTTAAGCGACGGGAGAGCCCATTATCATATATATATATATATGGTATCAAATGACAACTGGAAAAACAAATCATACATTTTGCCGACGCGTTTCGTCTTCCGACTTTTTCAAGGCAAAAATGAAATCGAAATGTTTTTGTTGTTATAGTTACATGAAAAATCCAAATTTAAAAAGATAGACACTTGTTTCCGTCATTTTGCGACAATAATTTTGAATTTTAATGTAACGATAACAACAAAAATTTTCATTTCATTTTTTACCTGAAAAGTCGGAGGACGAAACGCGTCGGCAAATGTATGATTTGTTTTCCAGTTTTCATTTGATACCAATCTGTCTTGTCCACAGAATTCATCTGGGAATTTAACTATATATATATATATATATATATATATATATATATATATATATATATATATATATATATATATATAAATATTACAGGTCCGTTGGTATATAATCCAAGTAGATCCTAGTAATATCATATATTAAAACTGATCCACAAAAAGTGCTCAATGTATTTATTATAACACAGCATAAAAATTACACAACAAAATCCAAAATTAACTCATATAATTCTATTTCAACCAACGACAACAATTATGTCAGTCTTATTCAACCCCTGTGTATAGACTCTGTTCAAATCGTATTTAAAAATTTAATTTCGACAGCAGTCGAAAAATTGATACAGAACTTATACATTTTATTGTTTCAGCCGAAATGTCCGAGTCGGTGATAAGGGGACGGTTGAGGGTATTAACCTTAAAATGAAGAAGTTTTATAAAATTAACCCGTAATGAGGTGTTAAAGTGAAACTAATATATATATATATATATATATATATATATATATTATTTACGTTTGACCATTATTTTGATAATATATCCTAATTTATTTCAGAAAAAAATATTGAAATTGTAAGGTATTCATGACACGAGGCAATTTCTACGTATTTTTGTCGACGAAACCCACTGTATCTTGCCTGACCGTAAAGTATTCAACAGCTATTCTGTTACAGCACGTTCTTCTCTGTGCAGTTGGCGCTCACAGGTACATTGACATGCGACTTCCTACCAACCAGCAGACAGCTACCTACCAACCCACCTCCCCAATTACACGCACTTGCTTCAACTCGCATTTTTTTTTTCATTTTCATTCTCGTAATCGAATAAAGAGCGTTAAATAAGTAAAACAGGTTGTTCAAAATTGGCGCGTACGTGTGTCTATTAAACACTCAACTAGATTCTTCCATTGACAAAAGCCTCGTGGAACAAGCCAAATACACCAAAGAAATTGTCAAATCAATCACATGACAGGGAATCCCTTTTGTGGGCGAGTGCAAGATTGATCGACACAGGACGCCGTCTTCTCGTTACAGCGAATTTCGAAATTGCTTCGTCATACCAACAGTGATGGCGACTAACTGCGCATAGCACGAGGTCTGTCCGTTAATCTACAATGGATCACTAAATACTTCCAGAGTGCGGTTTTCAAAAAAGGCTACCTATGCAAGGTGATAAATCCACTAAGACTCAACAGGTTACAGGGTGTAGAATAATTGAGAAGAGAAACATTAATAACGAGCGGGAAGAGAATAGAGTTATCAGGAGGACAGTGGATAGCGATTGACATTGCATTGAAAATTTTGCCGATTAAAGTTAACTGGAAAGCATGGAGCTGGAAGGGAGTTCCACAAGTAAGGCAGTAAAGCCACTAAGACGCAACGGGTTACAGGGTGTGGAAGAATTAGGAACAGAAACATTAATAATGAGCGGAAAGAGATGAAAGTAATCAGGAGGACAGTAGGTAATGATTGACATTGCATTTAAATTTTTGCAGATTAAAGATGGTCGGAAAGCATGGAGTCGGAAGGGAGTCCCACAAGCGTTACATTTTCTTTTCGTATTCATATAAGAAGAAGTAAGTTCCACTCAAACAACTTCTTCCTGTGAACCACTGCTTTGTGGAACCGACTCCCAAGAGGATGCTTCCCTGTTCACTACAATCTTAACCTGTTCAAGTCTAGACTGAAACTTTATCTTCCCCTCTTATCCATATGAACTACCCCTTAACGTATCCCTCTACGACGAGTGACCTTCAGGTCTTGTACCTTTTACCTTACTGTAAAAAGAAAAAACAAAAAATAAAACA